GGGTCTTTTGACCACAGTAAAGAAAGAAAAGAAAAGATTACAGCTCAGCTCTTATATATTTATGTTCATGACACGTTATTATACATGATGTCTTATTCAGTACTGGTCTTTGCGGAGCATAGTGGTTTGCTCACGCCCCCATTGTGTTTTTCAGGAGACGGAGTCGAGCGTGCCGGGTGAGTTATGCGTGGCAAAGCGTGGTCATGACAGTCGAGAACATTTTTACGCACATTTTATGTCCTTGTAAAAGGATGGTAATATAAAACATCTTCTGTTACCACATCTTAAATTCGGTGCGGATGAATTTTGATGGTTTTTCTCCATGAACGAAAAGATTGGCCTCGGAGTAGCGTGAATGCTTGTACTTTCCATTTTAAAAAAATGTACACAAATTTCATCTAACTATTGTTGGGTGTGTGTGCGTGTACAATTTTGCATACTTATATTTTGAAGAATGACAAAAACAGCACGATAACGAATGAATCGATCAAACCAGGAACACAATCCTCGTATAAACTCGATCAAATAACTCAAATAATAATCAAAGTTTAGGCTCGTGAAACTTGCTCTCTGTAAGACGAAATTGCAACCGATTAATTCCCACGGTTTTTGACAAACGTCACTAAGATACAATGACTTTTATATTGTGTATAGTAGAACTTCAGATACACATAATTTCGACGAACTTACTTATGTTTTAGAACTCTCAAGATATGAACAATGAATGATGAATACAAGATGAACATGAACTATCTTATGTTCTATCTCATTTTTTTATTCTTAATGTTAAGTTCTCTAATGTTATACGCATTTCAAATCATATGGGTGTTTATGGATGTTCGTGGACATCTCGAGGGAGTTTATGGCATCAAAAGACACCTTTCGGGAGATGTCCGGTTGTTCAAAACTGAGTTGCAGTGTTTTCAACTCGAGCAGGTGCGTCTAGGTCGCGTGCTCGTTGTGCTTGCAACGATAAGTTGCACCCATATGGTGAGCTGATAAAGGCATCGCGCCTGCGATAGTGTCTAGCACACGCCTACGATCCAAGAGCCCGTACGTACTCATTTAGACTTGAAATCGTGTTATTTTTTTCCTGTGAACCCTTCTAGAGTCCAAGCATGCATTATTATGGCTCGCTGCCATGACCAAACATTCGGCAAAGAAAAAATGTTTGTGAACTCAATAATCTTTGAGTTACTTACACTCAATTTTGAGGTATATAAACACAAATTCCTCCACATTTCAACTTTAGAATTAATTTCTCATTCACACTATAATGATTTTGAGATTTTCATCTAAACGTTTCAGTTACGAAAAGTAGAACCATTGAATTGGTAAAATGGAAAGCAATTTTTGTTAAACTGTTTTGACAATCGTCCGTATATTACACTTAATATGACTAGAACATAAAAATATGTGAACAAGTGTCAAGGATGAGCTCCAAGTTCCAATATGAAGTCTTATATGTAAATGTAAATTACTGATTGCCATATAATATTTTAAAATTCAGTACATAGGTCAAAATGAAAAGTAGAAACATAAAAAATACTTGCTTTAGTGATGAGTTCAATTCATAGTTTTAAAATCCCGATGGATGATCGACCTGGGCTAGACTCTGTGTTATCGTCCAACCGTTGGGTCCCAAGTCAATTAATGTTGAACTTAATAATTGATTTTATAAAATTTTAAATCATATTTATATTAATTTTATTTTATAACTATACATAAAATAAAAAAATAAATTATTTAAATGTATATTTTATAACTCATAGTCTTAATAATACTATATTTTGTCATAAACATATACCACACACACACACACACACACATATATATATATATACAATATTTTATTTTTAAAAATAAAAGGTAAAAAAAAGTAAAAAAAAAAATGGTCAAGTCAAACCAAGTTGACCCGGTCTGGCCAATACTCTGGTTGATCGGGTCTATGCCGTTTTGTCTGGGTTCCTTGCTACGCCTACCCGGTTTGAACAACTCATCGGACCGACCTCGGGTCTACCCGTCGGGCCGTTTCGAATTTCAAAACTATGGTTCAAATTTATTTCTAATTTACACAGGCCTCGTTTACTAGCCTTAATAGGATGGGATAAGGTTGGTTAACCAACCTTATGACTTGGCATGAGTTGGTGGGATATATATCCTTGTTGGCGGGATAAAAAAATCCGGCCATTATGGTGAGATAAAATTATCCCTGGTCTTAAATGACCTTTATTTAATCTAAAATATTTTTATTTAATTTAATAATATTATTTAATCTAAAAAATATTAATTTAAATAATTTAATTTAATTTTAAAAATATTGTTTAATATAAAATAATTTAATTTAATTTAAAATANAACATAGAGCTAACAAAATATTTTATAGTTTAAAATTTATTGACAAAGGTCCAAATTCATGTCTAATACTACAAGACCTCGTTTACTAGCCTTGACTCTCGTTTACTAAATATGATTGGGATAAAGATACATATGACGTGACATGAGTTGGCGGGATATGTATCCTTGTTGGCGGGATAAAAAAATCCGACCATTATGGTGTGATAAAATTATCCTTGGTCTTAAATGACCTTTATTTAATCTAAAATATTTTTATGTAATTTAAAATGATATTATTTAATCTATAAAATATTAATTTAATTAGTTTTATTTAATTTTAAAATATTTTTAATATAAATTTAAAATAATATTATTTAATTTATAAAATATTAATTTAATTAACTAAATCAGTACTTTTATTATTTATCATAGATAAAAATCCACTTTGGTAAAACTGGAACAATTTGTATCCAAAATCTTATGTGGCAAATTAGAGGGATTAATTTGTCCAATCCCATCATCTTTAATAAACGAGGCCACAGTGCACTAATTAACAATCACAAAATTTTAAGTGGTAGGTTGATATATCATATTATGCGATAAAATGTATATTATTAAATGTAATACTTATAGTTATATTATTTTTTAAATTATAATATCTTTAAAAATTATGCAAATTTGTGATACAAATATCTAGATGTAATGGATAAAATTTGTTTGAAAACATTTCTCAAATAGACTTTGGGATTCAAAATCCATTTAAATAAATATCTATGTTTGGTGCTAAATTAAGAATGGACTTATGAATAAGTTATTTCTCCAAAAGTCCATTATGTAGAAATAAATGATGCACACTTTTGGAGAAATCTATTTTGAATAAGTCTATTTCTTGAACTTTCTCAACAGTGCTCCAAACAAACACGATGATTAACAGTTGCCTACTTTCTACTGCAAGAAGAAAAAAAAAAGAAAAAAAAAAAGAAAAAAGGGAAAAACAAGAGAAGGATAAGAAAAAATGATTGAGCTATTGAATTTGGAGTGCACTCAAATTGAAAAAGAAAAACAACCGAAATTAACATCAGTAGTGTTTAGTGGAACTTTTTCACTCTTAATTAAATCAGAAGGTTAACTTACTGGACATTGCTGAATGAAGTTCCTCTTCTGGGAGAGACAAGAAGGTGAGACTGAAAAGCTGGGGTTTGAAAGTTAAAGAGTAAACTTCAACACTTCTTGTGGAAGTATTATTCAAATGTTCTTCCTGTGAGCTACAATCTAGCTAGAAGGGGAATGGATATTGATCAAATATGCCATAGTTGTGGTGAAGATATAGAGCCTATTGAGCATGTGTTGTTCAGCTGCAGAAGAGCTCAACAAGTTTGGAGGCTAGCACCACTTCAATGGGAGAATGTTCCATCTGAAAACAAATCCTTCAAGTCTTGGTGGTGGAATATTTGTGAAGCAGGAAATTCTATGGTTTGTGAGAAGAAGATTGAATTAACCACCTATATTCTTTGGTGGTTATGGAAATCCCGCAATTCATGGAAATTTAAAAATGATTGGCTGCCTGAGAATATGGTGATTAAAGCTGCTTATAGTGAATGGATTGAATTTGCAGATTGCTGTGAGTCAGGAAGGGTTCATTGAGACAAGAAGATGCTGCTAGGTCCTTGGTTCAGTTGTAGCATGTTCTTGTTATACTTTGGTTCTTGCTGCAGGGACTTTTTTATGATTTGGTTGTCTATTGTTTCTTTAGAGAGGACTCAGTTATGTCTACTGCCTCAAGTTGATTGGTTAGATTTTGTATTGTTGCTGCCATTAGCTATTTTCTGTTTAATCTAGAGCCTGGTGCTCTCCTTTGTTTAGTTTCTTGTAACTGAACTTGGGGTTATTTAACTCCTGGATTGTACATGTTTGTTTTTTCAGTGAAATGNCTGCACAAAGTGTTGATTATTAAAGATAAAGGGCTAAAAAAATTCAATGGCCTGCTCACAGTTTAAATTAGTATTTTTATTCGACCTGAATAAAATTTAATTGAACTTATGAAAGCTCGAATTTAACTTGTTCATTAAATTAAATGAGCTGAGTTCAAACAATTAATTAAGCTCATTAATTAAACATGTCGAGCCAAAACAAAAAGAGCATGTTAAAGCTCAACTCGTTTTAATTATCTATTTGTGTTTTTGGAATTTTATAGGTATTAATTGAAACAATCGTTCCGAATTGTCTGCGAACACACATTTCATACTAACTAACAATTCATTTAAAATATTAAAAGTTTATTAAATTAGTTGAGCCAAACTTTCATGAGTCGACTCTTTTATTAAACAAATATGAGCCTACACATGAATTACTTGTCTCATCGCTCACACGTATTAATAAAATATAAAAAGATAAAAAGTAGAAAAATGCTATAGATATATAATATTTTAAGGGGTACATAACACTTTAGAGTGACCAAAAATAAAAAACCAAGTGGTATGTACAATTTATTATGTACTTGTTTTCTAAAAAATAATAGGAAAACAAAAGCAAAAAGGGAAACACTCTCTGCAGTCTACATTAGACGAAACGGCACCGTATTAGGAAATAACAGTACAGCATTTACTGTACTGCAGACAAAAGAAAAAGAAGGCCCCTTTGCCCTCCTCTCTCCTCTCTCCTCTCTTTCTCTTTCTCTCTCTCTCTGCGGTCCGAAAGCCCGAATAAGAATGGGTAAGGCATCAGTCGCCGCAGCCACGCCGGAGACGGTGAGGAAGAAGAAGGGACGGCCTTCCAAGAAACGCCCACAGCTCTCAACCCCTCCCAAAACCCCTGCTCCCAACCCCACGAGCCGCCGATCCACTCGTCGGAACCCTAATCATCTCGATTCGTCGCCGCATCAGCCCGAATTCGACGACGACGACGACGAGCGCAAGGAGAAGAAGGTCAAGCTCGTCGTCCGGCTACCTCCGTCGGATGAGAGTGTGAAGAGAGGGCAGCTGCAGGACAGTCAGCATTCTCGGGAATTGGATTCTGGTTCCGGCGGATCGGGTTCGGGTTCCGAATCAGACCGGGACGTGGAGGATCGAGAGGGGCACGCGAAGAAACGCAAAATTGACGGCGTCGATGATGGATCTGACGGCGGGGTTTCGGATCAGGTATAGGAATTCACGGTGGTTTTTGTGAAAAATGGGAAATTTTTTGAATTGAAAGTATCTTGAAAAAATTCAGTTTCCATTTTTTCCCGGGGTTTTTCATTTATGGCAGTCACCAGCTCTTTAAGACTTTTGTTGAGGAAAAAATTTGTAATTGGGAAATATTTTAGGGGGTTTTAATTTAAGAGATTCGAAAATGGGTTTTGAGGATTTCGCGCGAAAAATAAACGAAATTTATTTGCGCTGTCCCATTTTATTTTTATTTACTTTTTGGCTGCTGTGGCTTGTGAAGAGATCTGTAGTGGGTGCTGATTTTTTTTTGACTTGGTCAACTGTATATGTTGCAGAAACAGCAGATGATTTATTTTTTTCTGTTTTATGAATTCTGGGGTTTGATGTGTGTATATTTGTAATATAGTTCTTTTTTTTCGGCATTTGTGTCGCCAATTTATCTGTACCTACTTCATTTGGACAATAATTATGTAGGCCATCCTTTCTTCAAGTGAATGTATTTTTTCATCTTTTTTATGAAGAATTGTGCCTTTGAAAAAAAGTCGAATGGTTTTTTCTTTATTGTACATGCATTTTGTTTAGTAGGAGAGATAAGTTTTGTTTGTATGCTTGCTCGTCTCTTGTTTCTTTAACTGCTTCCCAGCTTGCCCTCTTTGCCGTGATTTTAAATATGGATATTTTTATGCAATTTGCTTGTTTTGAGACAACATTTGTTTTTCTTAATAATGGTTATGTTGGTTTTATCCAGGATAGAGAGCTCGTGAAAGAGAGAGACAATTATGTACAAGGTTCTACTCACAACCTTATTGATTTTTCATTTTTGGCGTGAAATGGACAAAAGAAAAGATTTTATTTATTTATTCTTTTTTGATGAAGTATGTTTGGAAAATCCAATTTGGTGTTTTGATCTGATTGCGATTGTCTGATTTTATATTTTGTGAACAGAGTCACAAGTGGCGTCTGGTCCAGCAACTTCTTTGCCAGATAAAAAGTTGTTGATCTTCGTTCTTGACAGGCTCCAGAAGTACAGTATTTTCGCATTATTCTTTAGATGTATCTTGGTTTGCATAGTCAGTCCATAACTGTTGGTTTATTTGGTGTGTGTTGATTCAGAAAGGATACGTATGGTGTTTACTCGGAGCCTGTGGATCCTAATGAGGTGATGGCGTCATCATAGAGTAATAAAATTACAACAAATGTATTTCCTTGCTGATATAGAGTTGATATTCTTGCAGCTACCTGATTATTTTGATATAATAGAGCAACCAATGGATTTTGGGACAGTAAGAAAGAAACTTGACAGTGGAGCTTACAAAAACCTGGAAGAGTTGGAGGTTAGTTCGAACTATATAAGATGGATACTCGTTTAACTTCCAATTATTTACTAGTCTGGTTTCATTTGTTATGATTTACATGGATGAAATTTCAAATGGTTTATTAGATTGTAGCTTTTTGATATGGCTTTATTAAGTAACTTGGATACTACCTTTTGAGTTTGACGTCTGCTTAGTATTACTATACTTTACCAAGACTCTTAGTTTTATGTTTTATGAAATTATCTCTTTTATGTACATTGCTTGAAAATGGATTGAAGATATTAGTAGGTTTGGCATAGATAGCGTTATTTTGTATAATACTCGTGCCACGTTTTTTTTTTTTTTAATTATTTTCAAGGGATTTTTCTGCTCAGCAAATAGTAGCCAAAATTAGTTATTGACAACCAAAACCAAGACCGGGGAACATTTATCAGAATAAATAACCTACCCAATGTGTTGCATTGTGTTTAATTAAAATATATTTTCTCTGCTAGTCAGAGTGTATTATATTAATCCTCATGGCTTAGATTGAGGTACAATGTGGAGCTTCATCCCTTGTAATAATTATTTTACTCAAACTGTTCTTAATTTATCTGATAATGTTGAAATGTGCTACTTGCTGTTTTATTATAATCATTCTTGTGGACCAGCAACTTTCTTCCAAGCATGCCAGTTAAATGACTTTGGTCAACGTAGTTAATACTTAATTTCTGACTTTGACAATGTCGAGACAAATCGTGAAGCAAAAGTTGACTTTTCTGTCCACTCTTATTCCAGGCTGATGTGCTTCTGATATGTTCAAATGCCATGCAGTACAATTCTTCAGACACTGTCTACTATCGCCAGGTCCGAAATAATCCTTGCTTAATTTTATTTTGTTTTTTATTTTTATTTTTAATGTTGTATTTTTTTTTAAATGAATAACGGGATTTATCAGGCACGAACTATACAAGAACTTGCGAAGAGAGACTTCAATAATCTTAGGCATGAAGGTGAGCCAAAGGTGGTGAGAAGAGGGAGGCCACCCAACAGCAAAAATCAGAAAAAGGCTGTTGAAAATACCACAGTGGATCGTGTAGCCACCGATCTCTCTACTGGTGCAACTCTTGCTAAAGAAGAAGATAAAGCAGCTGGGTCCAATTCTTACAATCTGAGGAAGGGACCCGCATTATTTAGATTTAGGTCTGGTGATCCATATATGTCGTCTTATGGTTCAAGAAATGGTGAGAACCACTCTGAATGGTCAATTGACTGGAATAATGAATTTCCAGGTATTTTCTCATTCGCTGTCGTACAGTACTTTGTGTAGTCATTATCTTTAGTGAAAATCTTAGCCCCCCATTTTTTCGTTGACATGCAGCGTCAATTTTAAGAGCTGACATGAAATATGGGAAAAAACAGTTTACGGTTGATGAAAACAAGCGTGACACCTACAGGCAATCCCATTTGCTGTCTTCAGGCCACAATTCACTTGTTTTATTGAATTCCAGTGGAAATGTAAAGCGATTAGTGCCGGTATGTATCAAGATAACTCCTTTGCCCACTGACGGAACGTAATTGTTATTTAGAAAGTATTCTCTTGGGATTCCGAATATTAAAATTAAAAAAAAAAAAAAAACATTACAGAATAGTACCCCCTTGATTTGTTTCTGTTCTACACCTCTGAATGGGTTACCTTTATATCTGAAATATGATTAGTGATATAAAAAGAACTCCTTTGCACACTGGTAAACAGTGACTGATATTCAGAAAAGATTCTCTCGGGGTTCTGAATATTACAAACAAAAAAATATAGAAAATAATAAAAATCGAAAATTAAGAAATCCCATTGATCTTTGTTTCTGTCGGTACACCTGCATGCTTACCAATTTATTCTGAAAGATTGACTCATCTATTTAATCTCACCAATCCCCTGACTCAAAACTTACAGGTAGGTCTCCAGGAAGCCCTTGCTTATGCAAGAAGCCTGGCCAGGTATGCAGCAAATCTCGGCCCTGTTGCCTGGAAAATTGCATCGAGGAAGATAGAGGCCGTTTTACCTGCTGGCGTACAATACGGGCCTGGCTGGGTAGGTGAAAAAGATGCCCCTTCACAAACATCATCTTATTTAATGGAAAATAATAAATCACTCACTGCCATTGCTGCAAATTCCATTTCAAGCAAACCAAACGACCCCTTGTGGAAACCCCAAGTCCCTTCCCACCGAATTTCCAACTCAAACAGTGTTAAAGTCACAAACTTGGGAAATCCCATTCTAGAACGTTCTGGAAATGTGAAATCGGAACCTGGGTGTAATTTGCCATCGAGTCACTCGGTGTTGGCGAATAATGTCGTTAGGGAGCAAGCTAAGTTGGTGGGGATTAGTAACAATAGCTTGGTGAACAAGTCACCTCCTGATTTGAATGTGAGAGTTCCGGTGGGCTCGCCTAGTTCTGGTAGCTTACAAATTTGTTCGCCTCAACAGCCAGATTTGGCATTACAGCTCTGAATACTTTTTTATTTTTTTATTTTTTATTTTGTCTGAGATAAGAGTTGGACGATGGTTGGACGAGTTTAGGACACAGCTTGTACAGGTCTGTATCTAATTTTTTTTAGGTGTAGCCGAGGTTTGCGCGGACACTCATATGCTTCGACACCAGGGAAGTAGTATTTATTTGCTTATGATCTATAATTTCTCGGGTTAACGGAATGTATTTGTATTCCATTACAATATGTAAACTTTCTAATGATCATTAATGATATTTCCTTCCTTTTTTCTTATTTTGAATCAAACTCAATGTAAACTGCACAGCTCTTTCATATGAACACACTATGCTTCCATTTTTTGCAGTTTCCATTTGTGTTATATGAACATTGAACAATGACAAAATCTTATTGAGTATAGTTATTTACATTGTTTCAAGGAATATAATATTTCACCCCAAAAGCATCAACTTTAATGTTTTCTCACAGTGGCAACACAGATGAAAAAGCTTCTAACTTTCATCTTATAATATTCGAAATTACCTTTATACCTTAATTTTTGTTAAAAGTAGCAGATGGGACCAACTTTCCTGGCCTGGAATCACCTTCTGATAGAGCTTTAACTGAGGGAACTATAGGCCTATAGTGAAGTAGCCTAGGGAGCATTAATGGAGGTGGCCTAACTATTAGATGGGATCGAAAATAAATATGCGTAATTTTACTATAAAATGTTATATTTTTTTATGTTATGTTTTAAAATAAGACATCTTCTAGTGAAAGTATTTATATTTTCACATTTGTGAAAAGACTATAGTTATAGTATCTAAGCCGCTGAAATTCTTGTATACATAATATTCTTAAGCTATTGTTAAGAATTTGAATGTGGATTACATAAGAAATATAAAAAATCTGAAGTGTTGTGAAATCCTATTTTTAGTATGTGAAAAAATTGTCTGGTTGTCTTTTGCCTCTGAGGTTTGTGGTAAATTTATATTCCTGTGCATGAATTTCTGTAAAAGCTGTGGTGAGGGAGCTCTTAATGTGTTTGATTTTTCTCATTATTTGGGATTTTAGGGTTTCACATTTTGATAGGGGAGAGAATATTCATTTGTTCTCTCTCCAGAGATTTGGAGAGAGATTTCTGTTTTTCCTCAAACTCTAACCGTTTTTTTTTTGTTTTTCTGTTTTATTTATTTTTTGTTCTGTTTTTTGATTATCTGGTGATGGCTCGCTAAAAGGTCGAGTCTTGTGGCAAAATCTTGCTTCATTTGGTAGATCATTCTTTTTTGGGAGGAAAATAAATTAAGAGAAAAAGAAANAAAAAAGAGGGAAGATTTGACAAACAAAAGATGAGTTGCTTTTCTTGCTTGAGCCCTAAGCAAAAGGCCCTTATTGAATATGATGAGGACATGACCCCAAAATCCCTTGCATCTTCAGGTTTCCTCTTTTTCTCATTGTGTTTTCAATTCACTTCATTTTGAATTCGATTCGTATACGTAATAAACTCGTTCGATCCTGGCATGTGAAGTTGGTGCGAAGGGAAAGGCGAGCCTTGTCGAAAATGGTAAGTCGACAAGATTAGCATAACAAAAATTTGAATCTTTTTCCATATATATCGTTTATGGTACCTTTCTTTGTTCGCTTTTACGTTATTTCCGCATTATTTTTTTTGGTTTGTTCTCCGAAAATTTTGCAAGACATTTCGAAAAGGGTTGATTCCATGAGAGGCAAAGGCAAGGAAAGCAATCCACAGAAAGTCGACGTGGCCCGCAGCTTCACGCTAAAGGAACTCGCTCAAGCCACAAGAAATTTTCGAGAAATGAATTTAATCGGTGAGGGTGGTTTCGGGAGTGTCTATAAGGGTCGTCTAGAATCTGGCACGGTCAGTTTTTTATTTTTTATTTTTTCTTCTTATTGTTCAAGTCAGTTTTCAAGAATTCAGCCAGTTTTAACCTGCTAACTTTCGGAATGATGATCAGATTGTAGCCGTTAAGCAGCTCAATCTTGACGGGCTTCAGGGGAATCAAGAATTTATAGTGGAGGTTCTTATGCTAAGCCTTCTTCACCACCCGAACCTTGTCAACTTGATCGGTTATTGTACGGATGGCGATCAGAGGCTGCTCGTTTATGAGTTCATGCCTATGGGCAGCCTCGAGAATCACTTGTTTGGTAAATCATCTGTTTTCATGAAATTTTCTCATTTTTGTTTATCTATTTAACCTTTTTTTTTTGTTTTTTAATTTTTTTAGATTTAGAGCCCGATCAGAGGCCGTTGAGTTGGAGCACGAGGTTGAAAATTGCGGTGGGTGCGGCCCGCGGGCTTGAGTACTTGCATTGTAAAGCGAACCCGCCTGTAATATACCGTGACCTTAAGTCGTCGAACATATTGCTGGACAACGAGTACAATGTGAAGCTTTCGGATTTTGGGCTGGCCAAGCTTGGGCCGGTTGGGGACAAAACCCATGTCTCGACTAGGGTTATGGGGACTTACGGGTATTGCGCGCCTGAGTATGCCATGAGTGGCAAGCTGACTTTGAAGTCGGATATCTATAGTTTCGGAGTTGTCTTGTTGGAGCTTATCACGGGCCGCAAGGCCATGGACTTTAGTAAAAAGCCCGGCGAGCAGAATCTGGTCGTGTGGGTAAGTGTGTCGTTTTGTAAATCTTCAGGCTTTAGAGCATGTTTAGGTAATTCCGAAAGATAATGGCGTGCTTGGATACAAAAATTTCTGCTTAAAATGATTTTTTTTTTGTTAACCATGGTTAATTTGAAAAATGTGGTATTGTTAGTTGTTAGTGGAATTTTGAGTTTATATTAAAATAGTATTTAAAAAATAATAATTAGAGTTGGTGTGATGTAAAAGTAAGAGATTGATGGTGTGAATGGATGATTAATTAAAATTATGCAGTTGATGTGATGTGTAAGAATGATTGACTGATATTATTTAATTATAATGATAATACTGAGGATAATTGGTTTGAGTTAAAATTGAGTTGGATTTAGTTGGATTGAGTATGGAATAAATATTTTTATATCGAAGCACGCCCTAGAAGTTCAAGATTATTTCTCTCGATAATCGCATTTCGCGCACCACAGCTTGAGAAATATAGTCTATTGTATGGCTAACTTTAATCATTTGTTTGGTGCGATTAATGTTTCTAAACTTGATTTTCGTGTAGTCTCGGCCGTTTCTCAAGGATCGGAGGAACTTTGTCAAGATGGTGGACCCATTGCTCAAAGGGAAATTTCCGGTGAAGAGCCTTCAACATGCGGTCGTGATTACCTCAATGTGCCTTCAAGAATTAGCGAGTGCACGGCCCGCCATAAGTGATGTGGCGACCGCGCTCGAGTACTTGGCTTCACAGGCGAACGACTCGCGTAAAATCCGGTCGCAAAGGGCTTCACCATCCTCGGCTTAGATGGGTTTGTTTGTTTTCCGAACCGTTGATTCTTGAAAGATGCGAACTTGTAGTGGAAAATTTGTGAAGACGAGGACTAGAAGTTGCTATATATATGTTGTTTATTAGGCTGTGTTGTTCTCGATTGTGGAAGCCGAAAAATTATTGGAGAAAAAAAGAGAGAGAAAGAGAAAGAGGTGATAAATCTATTTCGATGACTTAAAAGTGGATCGGAATAGTATGAGAGATCGTTTGTTGTCGTAAATGTTATTTTCGACGAGGCGAAAAAATATAAGAGATGTATACATCTTCTGAATTTGTGTAGCAGTGCTTGCTGTGAATAATTTATTGAACTTGTTACTAACATCNTTGTTTGTTCATGTTTGGATTGAGATAGTTTGTTATTGAAGATCCTAACTGAATAAGTTAATTACCTAAATTAATATTAGTTCTTGAAAATCTTGTAATGAATATCAACAGATATTAAGACTGAATCATACTGCATATTTATTCTGCAGAAAGTGTATATCATAAAAGTACAATCACATAACATTCCTAAGTAATAAGCAACAATTGATGCCTATTTGGGTAAAAACTACTACATTCCTCATCTCTGCTTCGTAAAATATACATATTTCTAAACAAAACAAAACAAAACAAAACCATGTGCAGAAGTTCACAAATTTGGCAACAACCTACAATACCTCTCTCATTCGTCCTTGGCTTCCCAAGAAAAATCGAGCATTCGATATTATTCCTCACAACAACGAACGACTGTTACGAGCTTTATAAACACGAAAAACCGACAGAGCTCACAAGCTCCATAACATAAACCCTTCCTCTCGGGGCCCACAAANCGAAACCTACCTCCGAACTAGCACGAGACGGATCATGTGGGCCCCAGACGAGCGGCACAAGTCCACACACTCCGCCAGGTCATCGTCACACGTCAGCAGGACCCACTCCGCATCGTCATCCAAATACTTGAGATGAAACTCGACTCCCGAGCCCACTCCAAAACGTCTCGTAATCTCCCGCAACAAGTCAACATACCCCCAATCCCTCTGCATCCGTAGCCTGATCGTGCCCTCACCATAGTTGACTTTCACCCTTTGACTGTTGACCGGGCCTTGACCGGGCTCGTCCTTGACAATCGGGCCTTCATGGCCCGAGACACTTGCCGAGTGGTACGCGGGTTGGGCCTCGCTCGAGTAGCACTGGCTCGAGCTCGAGGAGGTGTCTGTGGGCCTCGGGCTGCGGGCCGGGGATTTGGGCTCGGGAGGCCCGAAGTTGGTGTAGAAGGACTCGAATTGTAGGAAATCCGAGGCGCCATGAACGGAGTCGATCACGCGCTGGATCTTCTGCAAGGAGTGGCCCACTTTCTTGATCTTACGAGACGGCCACCGTTGGATTCCGTGCTGTCGGCATATCCTCTTTAAAGTTGTCGGGCAAACTGCGATTCCGTCATACGTTATTAGACGGCGAAAAAATTGCATTTTTAGTCCTGCTGGTTTAACGACATAGCAATTTTTAGTCCCAAGTTCGCTGAAATTGCAACAAGTTCTCAAATTCCCAGATTTTCGATTAGCAATTTAAGTCCTGTAATTTAAACCCCAAAAGGACTGGAATTGCATCAAAATATTAAATCAGGCAAAAAATTGAAATCTTTGGGACTAAATTTACTATGACGTTAAACCATATAGGACTGAAAATACATTTTTGCCTTATTAGACATAACGACACAAAAATGTCGAAAAGACAAACCATTGTTTAAAATCGTAACGAAGAGATTTAACGAAAAAATTCGAAAAATTACCACCAAGATTCTTGGCGGCATCCTTCAAACTCCCGGCAAAGTGCTGCCTGAGAGTCTCCAACGTGACTGTCTTTTCGGCCCGGGCCCGTTTCTTCTCCATCGTCCGGTTATTCTCGACCACCAAACTCTCTTTCAGCTCTTTATCCGTAACGACACGTAAAGTTCGGCAAACTTTCTGAATGGTGCTCGAAAGCGAGTCGAGCATCTTTAACTGCTCCTCGTGGGCCACGCAGCCCACAGGCAGGAAAAACTCGAGCACAAAATCAGCTGCGCCAGTCGAGACGCTCCTCAGGCGAATTGCGACAGCTGCACGGAGCCCGAACATGTGGGCAATGTGGGAAAGAGGGTACTCGGTTTTGCTGCAGGCTGACACATCATGTGAGAAGCAAGGCTGGTTTGTACCAAAGGCTTTGCCGACGATACCCTGGCCCTTCAACAAGTGGTGCTCCTTGCACGCCTCGTGAAAGTTAAGGTTACGAGGGTCCGCCACGTGGCACGCGGGCTCCACGGGTGAGAGGCAGTTATTTGGGTCGCTGTCTGGGCAGCGCCAGCACTGGGAAGAGCATGGGGCCCACATCTGGGCTAACGGGAGGCTGTGGGTTTCGCATATGGATTTGAGGACGTCGAGGATTTCGGGCAGTATGGGTTGGTAAGGTAAATCATCGGTTGTCTGCTGAAAAAATGGAAGTTGTTATCGGTTTTAGGAATGAAATTGTGATGAAGAAGAAGGCGACTCGTCGATGGATTTTACGGAGTTGGGAAATTTTTTACCTTGACGTTGTTTTTGCTTGAAATGTCGGCGCTCTTGAGATTAACAGCCTACAAAAGCAAGAGGAAATTTTTCGATTTGGTCATCCACAATACAATATATTGTCTGTGATTTTTGCAAGATTTTGTAATAGTAAGTGACACAGAAGTAGGACTATGACAATATATGAAACAGTTCATGCAAAAGATATATATAACAAGCAAATCATGAACTAAAGCACAAAAACTCCCTCTACTACCAATGAGTAGTACACTCGTTGTGCGTCTCCAAGAAAAACTGTAGTCGTCTTTATAATCAGCAAACCAGAAAACGAGTAAAAACTATCTATCTCCCACATATGCATATTCATAAATCAACTTTCGAGTGTTTTGGTTATTGGCACTTTTTTGACAAAAAAAAAAATAAAAATATGCAGGGTGAAAAAGAAGAGTAGGAAGATAACGGCTTTGAAAAACAGAAACATCAAATCACTTCTGTTGTTAAAGCTACATTCCAATTGTCCCACAATTTAATCACGAAACATTCATAGCCTGGACTCCAAATTTAATCACAAACAGTTGTACTTTTCAAATATGTAGCTTTTGCATCAATTCAAGGCTTAGACAAACATAACCGTTGGCTCTTCACAGCTTCAAAGTCTTTCAAATTCAACACATTTTGACATTTTACCTGACAATTTCATTTATTTTACAACAAGCCCCATAAACAGTAGCTAAACACCTAGAAATCACAATC